CCGGTAAGACTTGTTCCACGGACCGGTACCGGTCCGCGGACCGGCGGTTGGGGACCCCTGGTCTAGTGCACCATATTAGCATGTAAAGTATGATCAACTCTAAATGATCACAAGCAGAAGACCAGAGAAAGTGTCAAGTGCTTGCTTCAAAAACATTACAAGATGTATCAGTTGATTCATAGACTCATAATTTAGGACAGTAATCATGTATGACTTCACACAATGATTCAGAGCATATAAATTATATTGAATTAGCTCTTGAATATTAAGTCAATGGTGGAATGAAACACTGCACAAGTCTTGCAACAGATTGAAAAATTTATTTGAATCTGAAACTAAACCTAACTTTCTTTTTTGGGGGGAGGGGGAAATATGTTGAACGTAACAGAGGGGGAGAGAGTACCTACTGGCAAATATTTGTGTAATCACAAATATATTCACCCCAAACCCTGAAAGCCATTTTACAGAGAAACTTATTTCTAGCTTCTGAGGATTTTATCTTAAAATATTATAGTAGACAGGCAACCCTCCCAAAGCGATAGCATTTTGATAGGTAATTCTGGGTTCACTTAATAAGCTATATGTGCCTCATGAAAAGTTGAAAGCTAGGAAAAAAATTCTGGTTCACAGCCCAACATTTTTTAATTTTGAAATCACTCTGCTGTGATTTCCTTTAGCATTGTGTTCTATATATACAGTATATGCTTGATTTTATTTGGTTCTCTGATTCTCCTTTGGTTTTTCCCCACAGTCAGATTGGTTTTTCAGTGACAAAGAAGAAAAAGGTGAAAAGGTAAGTGACTAAGAAGGAGGCAATACTCAGTTTATGGCTGACTGCTGATTTCTCAGGATATAGAGAAATGTCTCTAATTTTTAATCAGAATACTATGAAAAATGTGACACTTAAGGATAAGCCAATTATTCTGCCCAGCAACAGGGATGAAATCAACAGATTAACTGAGGCTGTTTTTACAGCTTTAATGTGAGCAGCAACTGATAGTTTCCTCTTCCTCTTGTTGTCACTAACTGGTAGAAAAAAAATACTAGATGGCTGACCTTAATTGGCTTGATTTAGGTAACTTCAGGCAGATACTTTAGCCATCTTTCACATTGCCTTAGTCATATATTATCACTTCAGAAGTTATTTGTGTTGCTAAATTGTCCCTTGGGCTACGTCTGAACACAGATTTAGCATTCTTCTGAAGGATTCCAAACATATGCCCAAAAACAAAACCTGAGTTACAGACTAATAGAGTGTTGGTCTTATCCTTTCTCTGCTCCATCAACCTGTCAATTGGGCTATTTTGGTTTATGAGTTTATCATTATTAGAGCTTTATCTCATCTTGCTCAAGACAAAGAATATACCTCCTGTCCAGTGGTGGGATTCAATTTTTTTTACTACCGGTTCTGTGGGTGTGGCTTGGTGGGCATGGCAGGGGAAGGATATTGTAAGTCAGAGGTGGTATTTGTCTGTTCTCCAAACTACTCAAAATTTCCGCTACCGGTTCTCCAGAACTGGTCAGAACCTGCTGAATACTACATCTGCTCCTGCCTCCTATTTGCCCCACAATAACAGCCCAGGAAGGTGCTGAGAGAGAGCAACTGGCCCAGTGGTGGGATGCTGCCGATGTAACAACTGGTTCGCTAATCGTGCGCATATAAAAAGGCATGTAAGTGCTATCATGGCCCTCATGCCAAACTAAGTGAAACAATAAAGAAATTGTCCACACATCCCTTCATAATGGAAGTAGTTTAAACCTATAATTCGCTCAATAGTCACAGGATGAAGAATACAGAATTTGAACCCTCTTTTCCATTTTAAATCAACATATAGTTTAAACCTTTTTTTTTTTTTTTTGGTCTAAGTTCATATGTATCCATTTTACAGACCCCTATAGATGAACAAGAGGCCCAATCAATGCCAAATATTGAATACCTTCTACCCAACATTGGAAGAACAGCAGCATCAGGGGATGCTTCAGGTAAGCAAACTGAAAGTTTTGACTAATGATCTAAATGGACATGAAAATCCCCCAGCACAAGATTCCCCATAGTTGTTCCAATCTTTTTCTACTTTTGAATCAAAAATTCAGGTCCAACAATTCCCCATGAATATATGAATGTGGCTACCTTTTTACTGCATAAGGTTCTATTAATCCAATGTTTCTTAAGCTTGGCAACTTTAAGATGTATGGGTTGCAATTCTCAGAATTTCCCAGCCAGTTATGGATTAATCTGAGCCAAATGTGTAAAAAAGAGATAATCTGGCAGCTTCTGAAACATTGAACTAGAGAGAGTTTCATGGAGGCAACAACTAGGAATGCCTCCTTTCCATGTTTTCTCTGATGCTTTGCCAGTTGCTTTGTTAGCAGCAAAAGTAATGATGTAATCCTCAGAATTTAGGCATATATGGCCATTTCATTCTAGTTTATACCTGTGCTAGTGGTGAAGTAGCATTTGCATCACTAGAGGAGAAACCAACATTTAGGGTTAGATCTCCTATATTCCATCTATGGTTGCTAATGCTGATGAGCATATTTCTGATTAATAGTGATGTTTTTGTCCTCTACTAGTTATAGCTGCCTTTAACTTTTCTGCTGTCTTTCTTCTCTTTTCTCTCTTTATCTTGTGTCTCCTCCTCCTTCCAACTCCAGCGGATCTGCCGGAGCTCTAGAGCTGGTACAGTGTGGTTGTGCTCTGATGTTCATGCACTAATTCCATTGGGTGATTATGAGAGAAGGGGAAAGGCAGAACTTTAGATTTTGGCTCCTTATTGGATTTTTCATGTTGAATTTGAAAGAACACTGGTGGCATTTGCTATAATGTAAAGACTAAGGTGTGGTTTTGCCTTCCAACTATTTTTCCTTCCTGATTAAAATCAGGGAGCTTCAACCAGTAGAAAGTCCTATTTCAAGCAGCTGGGTATGAAAGTGTGACAAATGAGATCTCAATTTAAAACAAATACTTCTGGGTATTTCTAAGTAGTTTTTTTGATGGGGGAAGCAGCTTATGCAACAGTTTGATTAACTGAATTTGCCACTATACAGCTTTTTTTTTAACCATTTGTAACCCTTCTGTATCTTCCTAGTATTTTTAAAATCTTTTTTTAATCACCATTTATAGGTTTGAGAAGAATAAAAGGGTTAATTCTTATCTTTGACAGCATTAGTAACATAAATCATATGCTCAGTATCTTAACATGACTTATTGTGTCACAGAGTACTTTTACATTTTTATTAGATTATTTTCCTATTTTCCCATTATACTTTCTCTTTTTTCCTTTTATTATATTATAACTAACTTGAGTGGTGAAGCATTAAAACATATATAGGCCATTTTTAAAAACAAGAATTAAAAGTGATTATATTAAGTATATTTACAGTTACACTTTAAGGTTGAAGTATAATACTCACAAGGGTTAAGCTGTCACTGAGGTTTATTATTTAATGAATAGATATTAAATTATAAGAAAAACTGAACACTGTAAAATAAAATAATCACAGTCATAAATTTTAAAAGTTCTCAGTAAAGTTGTCTGGATAAATTCTTATTATTGGATGTCCAGCAAAATGTACTGAGGGACATTCTTCACCCAGCCTTCCTATCTGTCTAATCTAATTTTGAACTGAGATTTGAGTTTGATGTACAATTTGATGAAGTGTCCTATGTGGCTCTAGAGCCTATAGTATATTTTTCCACCCACAAATATCAAAATTCAAGTAAAGGTTTTATCTCAAAGTGTGATGCCATTTCCTTTCAGAGACAGTACTTCTTTAAGCTCTGGGTGTTGAGTCAGTGTGATTGTTTTGCCTTTTCTCTCTCTTGTGATTGCCAGCCACTAATTCCACATGAATGTTGCGGTCAAACCTGCAATGGAGTAGGCCTTGTGGGGACATCCATTAATTTGTCCATTGGTTTCATTGTTGCTGACATTGCCGTAGCAAATATATGTGTGTACTTGTGTGGGGAAGCTTGTTCAGAAATGGTTTGTCAAACCACCTGTTTGATGATGTGCTTATTTTATGAAAAGATCAAGGTTAATTCTGACAAATTTCCTTTGGTTCCTTCAGTTGGGACAGGAACCATTTTTGTTGACTAAAAGCCCTTTTTCAAATTGATTTTTGAGAGAACCATAAGGACTAATTTAATGACTAATGTCACTGAAAGGGTCAGAACAGAATTTTAAAATTCTTTGTCCGTTTGTAGGGAGGGTGGTTTGAATTTTTTTTATTTAAAAAAAGCTCATTGGAGCTTAACATAGCTGTCTTACTTCTTGATTGGTGAAAACCATGAGAAATTGTGCCATTGATACTCAGCAGTGCACTGTCATGATGTGGTGGTTTGAAGGCTGCAAAGAATAGGGTGATGGCTGCTTACAGCCTACTGATTGCAAAGCTGTTTACCTCTGACTTTCGTTTGACAGCTTCTTCTCTCATCCTCCCCACACTTTGCATTTGTCCCTTGGTTGCTTTCTTTGGTTTTCTGGCTTGGCTGTTGACAGTGCTTCAAATGAACAGCATAGGAGGACACTGTCTTAGACGACTACATTAGCATTGGGCAGTTGCTACTCTGTTCCTAGTTCCCAGTGCCTATTAGTAGTTATCTTTAGGAGGGCTCCCTGAAGCAACTTAATTTTCCAGAGGAACCAATTTCCTCAAATTATCTCTTTTATCTGCATACAGTTGTTTGAAATGCAAGGTATAGAACTTGGCCAATGACTGCTATTCCCAAAGATTTATGAGAGCCTCCCAAGATATGAATACATAAAATAATCTTAAGCCTTCTTAAAAGGCTATATTATAATGCTTAGAATTCTTTTGATTTGTCTGATCTTTGTGGGTTATTGTTTTGTAAATATATGCACATATGTATTAATGCTCTGAAATTATTTAAGGCAATATTAAAATTGTGTATGATTGTGTAAAATTGTGTACTCACTCAACCCCTCCATGCCCCTCTGTGAGGGAGATGGGTGGGTGATAAGTTTAATAGATAAATAAATGAAACCTAAAATGCCATAATGATGATGATGATGAGTATGATTGAAAGGGATTCTCTACTTACTTGCTTCCTAACACATCTTTCTTGGCAAGGCATTTAAAGAGGAGCCTTTCAGGGTGATCTGAAAGTACAGATAAAAATCTTGGAAATGAGCATTGGTAACACTGAAATAGTATATCTCTAAAGACATTCCTTGTATATCCCAGGGAACTCTGAAACCTTTCAAAATGTCACATAAGTACCTTACATCAGATTACCAAAATCTCATGATATTTCAGTTTGTGGGAGTTAGGACAAACTCTGTACTCAGCCCCAGATGTTGACTACAAAGAGACAACGAAGTATTGCTGTAATGTGAAGAACTTCTAGTTTCAGTTAACAGCCCCATAATGTCATTGTGAATAACTGAAATTTCTGGACCCTTCACAAAGATAACCTCACGTACAGATTGCAATAATCCAGAAAGAAAGGATGTCAGTATCTTTAGTGGTTCAAGCATTATCCCTTGGAACAGTTTCTGAGTTATAACCTAATCCCATTAAGTTTTACTTCAATTGTGCTAAGGAATTAATAATATATCTCTTTAGAACTGATTGCATAATTTCCTTTGGAATCTATATTAGTTCCTCCTCCCCCTCCTCCTCTTTGGGGAAAGTGGTAGAGATGAGAGATTAAAACCTGAAATAATTCAGCTCTTCTCCATACCTCCATGGAAAATATGCTACAGTCTCTCTAAATGTTTCAGGCTATATTTATAGTTCATCCAGCTAAACTGAGTCAGGAATTATGCATGAGTGTTGCTTTTTTAAATGAAATGTTGATACTTTTAATAGAATTAGTTCTGTACCTATGCCTGTGTGAATGCATGTGTGTATGCAAATGTGTGCATGTATAACATCATGTATATAGTTCTTATTCCTTTATAGCTAATTCGGTGCTTCTATTGTTTAGGTCCCTACAGGAGATTGGTAATGATGACTGATGATAGGTCTCCCACTGACACTCATTTTGTGTGCTTTGTACACTAAATTTCATTGTCCCTGTTCACAAATGTATTGGTCATTTCCATTGCAGAAACTGTTATCATGGGCTGCATCTCTTTCATTTGGTCATCACAACTGCATCATTTTGTTGATGCATCTTTTTGTTTCAAAAATGAAATGACATGAAATACATTTCTTGATCAATTACAAAATACTCTCTGGTATATTTCTGGTCATTTTGGAGATCTTCCTTTCCAGTAACTATTTAATAAAAAGTAATAAAATGGCTGGGAAGAAAGATTTGCTTTCATGAAAAAAAATATTGAAAGAGTAACTGTCTTTGGAATACCTAATTGTGTGTTTTGTTTACTTCTCAAATTGGGGTTTACTTCTCAAATTCCCCTACAGGGTATGTCAAAAGGGAGTACTGTAGTCTTGAATATGTAATTAGTGATTGAATTATTAAAACAACAAAGGGAGCTGTGTCAATCTAAAACTTGTGGTTATAAATCCCTCCCTACATCATATAGATTCCAGTTTAGTGCATGTGAGGCCCCTCTCATACCTGCAGTTATTTTCTGCAGCCAGCACACTGAGAGGCAGAATGTAGCATAGGAACCTGGTATTATACAACTCTTCCCTCAATTTTCCATGTTGATGTTTTAGCTGGAGAATCACTGGATAGTATGCTTATTGATCCTCTGATTGCATGCCATCAAGTCAGTATCAAATCTTAGTGATCACATAGATTTTCTCCGGGGTAACTTCTCTTTGGAATCATTAAGCCCCTCAATTTGCTAATCTTGGACAGGTCTATTTTTAACTCTCCTTTTTTTGTGTATTAATCCCTGCAGATTCAACTAATAGTGGATCAGCTAAATCAAAGGTAAGATCTCCTCTGGATTATTTTTGCCTTTGAGAGATGTTGGGGATGAAAAAAAGATGGTTAAGCACAAGGCCCTTAAATTCCCCAAGTTAGAAGTAAAGAGTTTGTATTACTCTGGCACTTGGCGTGTCTTTTTTTTTAAAACAACAACAACAACAACAACCTTATAGACACTCAAGCATGGTAAGTTTTTTGACTAAATGGCCATGGCCTAGTTTTCTGTTGTTGTGATATTTTGCCAGCAGCTATTACTGGCCTTTTCAGAGTGTGCTGCTTTAATGCATTTTCAGAGTGTGCTGCGTAAAGTACTTCTCAGCAGCTTGCAGATAATGAGTTGTACTCTAGTGTACAGACTTAACTTATCCTTTTCCTTCTTGCCCTAAACTAAATATAAGATTATTCCACATTTCCTCCCATGATTCTTTTCTCCCCCCTCCACCCTTTTCTGTTTGCTATATGTAGCAATCAATATACTATTCTAAAACATTATTGGCCAAAAAAAGAGAAAGAACTGGAAGCCGGAAATTAGTTTCATAGTGTGCATGATACATTCAATTAAAAAGAAGGGGAATAAAGTTGGAGAGAAAAGAGAATCTCTGAGAATCTTTAGGGGGAATATCTGATGGTGTTTTAGTGCGTTTAGGGGATCCTAAAATTAGAATTTCTAATTGCTCTATCTGCAAATATGTTTTCCAAAACAGGGAAAATAATTCACTTTTTAAAAAGCAAAATATGTTTATGCTATACTAATATATATTGCTAATCTATTATTAAGGATTATGTGGGGTAAGACATTACTATCCAGGGCAATCCATCAAATAAACAATGCTAATGTCACTGGATATTTTTCTGGTATCTGTTCTTTAGCCCTCTAAAATGCTCTGGGTTTTTTTTTTGCTTCTGTTCCAGGCTTCATGTGGCTCACGGAAAGAGCACTACCATAAAGAGATGCTTGCCATCTCCTTCATCTCAGCCGTCAACCGCAAGAGAAAGAAGCGGAGAGAGGCCAAGCGTTTTGGGAGCAGCACAGATGATGATTCTGAGCATGAGTCAGCTGTCAAGAGAGACGAGGAGGAGGAGGAGGAGGAGGAGGAAGTGGCTCAGGAGGAAGAAAGAGAGGCTGAAAGATTCGAGAATAGCAGCAGAGCTCCAGTTCCTGATGTGCAGGATGTCTTCCAAAGCCGGGCAAAACTAGAAGCAGAACAAGTAGAAAGAAAAGTGGCACCCCGAGGAAGCCCAGAATTGGCCCTGGATGCCCGCTCAATTGTATCAGGTTACTCCACCCTGTCTACCATTGATCGCAGCCTGTGCTCTGAGGTGCAGTCAGTAGCAGAGAGCCGTGGGGAGGAGGCAGATGATGAGCGGAGTGAATTTAGCCATGTGGAGACAGATACTGAGAATAGCTTTGTGCCAAAACAGTCTGGGATGCTTCCCAAAGGAGCTGGTGTGGCAGTAGTGGAGGAAGGGGGGGCTGCTGCTGCTTCTGAAAAGATATCACACAGCCGAACCTCCTTTAGTTCCCATCACCTCATGCAGTGTGACACTCTGGCACGGCGCAAGCTTTTGCGGCCCCGACACAATAGTGAGTCTTCTTCCAAGGGTAGTACTGATGTCCCAAGTTCCAGCTCCCCAGGCAGTCAAGAATCATTGCAGCCTGTGGGTGCCCCTGAGGTCCATACCCGGCTTTCCCTCACAGAACAACTTCGACTCCGCCTCCGCGGCTCTGCAGATGACATGCTGGCAGTGCGCCTGCGAAAGCCACACTCACCTGAGACACGGCGCAAGAAGAACAGTTGGCGGCGCCATACTGTAGTGGTCCCTGGTGGTCTCAAAGACCTCAATTACGAGTGGAAAGAACAACATGTATTGGGGACTACTGAGGCTGGTCCACTAGACTCCTCAAATAGAGGTGCACTAAGGGACAACAAAGACTCTGGGCTTAGCAGCCTAGAGTCAACCAAAGCTCGGTCTTCCTCAATCACACCAGGGAACATGACAGTTCCTAACCAGCAGAGTGAGCCACAGCATCGTAAAGGCAGCTCTGAGGGGCGTTCAGCTCCCCGACGTACAGCCTCTTTACGTTTCCACCAATATCTTTAGGTAGCCGTTGAAGCTCTTGTAGAATGGATGAAAGGAAAACTTGGCTTGCCCATGGTAACAGCCTTGTCTTGAGAATGGAGGAGGGTGCTCATAGGTGCAGCCACACTTGAAAGTTCCCAGTACTGGCCTTACTTTGTCTTTTTCGATACCTCGATCTGCAGTGGAGCAAGAAACTCTCCTTCTACCTACCCCTCACCTATCCTTGCTTTCTAATTCCTCCAGGTATTAATTTAATCACACCATGGTTTTGCGATTTGTGAATTTATTTATTCTCCTCTTTCCTTATCCCCAGGATGGCAGTCAAAAACGAAACAAAACAAAAAAGCTGAGGTAGGTCTGATACAAGGAGGGCCATTCATTCAGCCCATTGAAATATCTTGATTTGGGATTGACTACAGTTATCCAACTGATGGGATAAGCTGCTTCATCCCTGCTTCAAAATGCTGGATCTGCAAATAAAGGAACTTTTTGGAGGAGGAGAGAATCAGAAATAGAATTCCTCCAATTAATTATCTCTTAATTATCTCCTAATTTTCATTAGTCCATGGTACCTCTTTTCTGTATTTATCTGAAAGAGGCCTTGGAACTGGGCAAACAAGATCAGAGATATTAATGAATTGAGCCCGCTTCCATTTAATCACTGCTGTAGGTTCACATTTACATGGTAGATTCCTATCTACCTAAAACTTCTCTCATTGTTATCTGAATGGCAGTTGATGATATCGGGAGGTTTTGAATGTTCCCATAAAAATATCTGTTGCTCCTTTTCTACCATTCCTCTAGAAAAGCAAATTCCAAAATCTTCCATCTATTATAGCTTGGTCTTTGTCAGGTTCCTACAGGGAGGGTTGTATCTTCTTGACTTCTAGCACATGCATCAAAATCTTGTAGATATAAGCAAACTCAGGATTATGCATGGTATAGTCTCAGCTGCACTTGAAGATTATTACTGCAGAGCTATAATGGTCCCTGAAAGGTGCATAATCTCTACCACATGTAAAGGGCGCTGCTGTTTTCCTCCTCCTCCTAAAGCATGGGTGTCAAACTTGATCATGTCACGTGATATATCATGATGTATCTCAACTTTGCCTTTGTGAAGCCAGGGTGGGCATGGCCTCTGCGTGACACATCTGGCCTATGGGCCTCCAGTTTGACACCCCTGCCCTACAATGATGTCGTCTCTAATTTTCAAAAGTCACAAAGAGAGCTATGGCATCACACTATTTGATATATTGCAACTTTGGCTTTGAAAGCTTTGGCTGCAGTAAATCTGTTGGCATTAACAGCATCTCAAAATGCTTTTGGTTTTGTTGCAAGACTAACATGATATATACAACTGATGATATGAATTCTAAATGATACAGTACTAAATGGTACAACTCACTGTGCCTTTAAAAATATAGTCACATTTTTTGCTTAGCTCATATAAGATTTTCTTATAAGTCTGAGCTAAGGATGCAAACTTTTTCCAGTTTGATTTTTCCTTTCAGGCTGTGACAGTATCCCCATTTGAATAGCACTCTTTGCTCCTATCCCCTCATAACAGATAGTACAGTCTAGAGGGGAACACAGGATGTGGTTAATACCAACAACACAATACTGTATGCAGAATTCATGAGGGCATATTTTAAGGAGAAAATTAGCTTATGCAAATGATAATTGTGTGGAGTGTGAGTGAATCACCTGTTAAGGTGGCATATGTGTACCATGTTTTAGTTAACAATGCTTTTCTATGTAACTTCCTGTGTTCAGTCGGGGAAAGGATGAGTACAGGCAGTATGTGATTTTTAGGTTTGGAGAAGAACAAGAAGAGGGAAAGCACACCAGGACCCTGTGCAGATGTGCCAAAAAGGAGCCTCAATGATTTTTTTAAAAAATATTTTAGAATTTCCAGAGCGTAAGTTGACATGATTCCATTCAAGCCTTTGTTATGATGAAGGGCTGAAATGTCAAGTCCGTGCCATTTTCTGCTTTACTGGTAACTTCCACAACTCTCTGTCACAAAGAGCAATATTGGATTTTTCATGGTGCTACATTTATTTTCAACAGTGTCTTTCTCTTAGTTTTCTCATTATACCACATGGAAGTAACCAAGGAGCCATTTTATTACATGTTGCAGATCAAGTAGGGTTTTTCATTTTGCTATTCCTTGAAATTCCTTCAAAATGAGAGACTTAACATTTGTTTTTATCTTGTGGATATAAAAGATTCCCACACCTTATGTCTCTGTAGAATTTCATTTGGTCATAAAAGCAGGAAGTACTCTTGTGATGAATAAATATGAGAGATGATCTTTTAAGATACATGTTTTGGTGTGTAATAGTTACTACTTCACCCCTTATGCCTCAATATAAGATAGTTACCCCTTGGAAGGAGTTGAATAACCCTTAAGAAAAAAATGTTGCTGTGAAATAACTTTCTCCACTTTCCTGTTAAGATATATTTTAATTGAAAAAGAAAATGAAAAAAAATCATTTTGGGGGGAAAGCAAATCAAAATCCTGACATTCTTGAAATTCAGTGGATGTCTCAGAGCAACCTGCTGTGTAGAGCATAGCCTACATCAAAAGTACTCTTTCTCCTCCTTGCAAAATAATAATAATAGAAAAAGTGGTAAATTTCTCTTGAATGTCAGTATTTGCAGATACATTCCAAAATCGTTATCACTGAATGAAAGGGAAATATCATTTTCATTGAAATAACTGTCTTACCACATGTTGTGTTGTTTTGTTTATGTATCGTATTCCAGGTATTACACACGGATGACATTCCAGTTGTAACACCAAATATAAGACTCAGGCTTTAAAAATCAATGAATATATTAGGTTATAACGCAAAATCAATACATAACAAAAACAAGGATAAGGCAAGGATAAAATATCCTTGGTTAAGGATAGATTTCAATGCTGGTGTTGCTAATATTAAATGCAGCATTTAAATGGGTATGCCACACTGGTTATAGACATGGTGTAGTACATTTTTCACTATAGTCTGCCTAGCTCATTCTACGATGTCTGTGGTTTAATGACAAATGGCTATTTTTTTGTAGGAATGGTTAGCTGTAGGTTAATTCTTTGTAAACATGTTATTTTGAAGAAATGCTTTTTGTATCTGGACTTTTTAAGAACAAAGTGCATTAAAGTTGATGGTTCCTCTCCACCAATATCAATTGACAGCAACACTAGGCACTAAATGTCACACTTTGACCCAATGCCATCTTACTGTCCCTGCAGGATTGTTTGCAAAGTTACATTTTCAGAAAGTATGTGTCACCAAAAATGCAGCAGTAGGGCCAAAACAGAATAACAATGAATGGGAGCCTGCCAGCTTGATAATTATTCCAAGTATTTTATTTTTAAAAGAGGGGTGGGGAAGCCATTTATGTTTTGGTGCAAAACTAAGGTCCTGTTTACACAGCAAAGTCAAGAACCTATTGGTTATTGATTCTCCAATTGCACAGTTGCAAAGACAAAGTTAATACTCATTCTGTAACTTCCTAACCAAGAACAAAACAGGCCTCTCAAACCTGCCTAAATTTTCATTGTGGAATGAAAGGGTCAGGAGAACTGTCTGTCTTGATTAAGCTAGTCTTGGTGACTTGGTAATTGAACAGGTAAAACAATTTTAAAGTACACTGTATGTAGCATCTATACTGAACTTTCAAACATTCAAAGCATTCTTGTTGAACTGTCATAACCATCTTTATAAATTACCTGATAGAATTTGCAGTGATTATAAAGAGATGTAAAACAATTCCACATGAAATTAGACCAACCTCTTGCTTCTGGATCCATGCAGCCTTCTGTGTTTCTTCCCATACTTCAATATTATAGTATGTCATTCCTATATATATATAGGAAAGCAGGCTATTATTGTCAGCCTAACGCTAACAATAATAGCCTGCAAGAGAAGAGGTTCACTCTTGGGAAATGTGGGCAAGTGACTGGTATGTTGCATGGCCACAGCTCCCTTCTCTTAAAAACTTGCAGCAGATTGTAAGCCAGAAGTGTCATAGGGGGTGTCAAAAAGTCAAGATGATTTGTGTGATTGCACAATTGAAGCTGTGTGATGCATGATGAAAAAGAGGCAGAGTTTCCATTGTGCAAGTGTGATGTTTCTCTCATACGATTCTGACTTTTTGAACAATCCCTGCTGGTGGATATCCCTGATTATCTTTTGGGTTTGTTATTTAACAATAATGGCTCAGTGTCTCTGTGTGTGATTTTTTTTTTTTACAAAAAAACATTTTGCAATCATTCTTAAGGGTTCATTGTCTCACTGCCGGTGTATGTGTGAAAAAGCATCTCTTTTGCTCACAACTGGATTCTCCCTTCCAGACAAAATCCATCAGATTGAGACTACCCAGTTCCATGTGAAGTAGAGTTGGACTGCAAGCTAAAGTGGTGGTTTATACTTCAAAAATTTCAATTGAAGTCAAAGTATTACAGAAGTGCCTCCTTGGTGCTGTCAAATGACAGCTGTTTTTTATATGCATCTGGTGTGCAACATGAAAAAAGGACAGAGAGCTATGATCATCCATTTGCAGCTACCATGTTGACTTCTCTTCAAGCCCTTCTTACAAGTATACCTGTTTCATTTTTTATTTTTTTTTGTTCTGAGGGAGGCGTCCCAAGTTGTCTATATGTGCCTTTCATGAGAAGACTTATTTCCCTATTTGTTACAGGCTCTTCAGGATCTTGTGGTTGAAGTGTTAGCCTAAGAGGTGGTCAGTAAATGTATAAAATGTATTAAAATATTTCATTGAGTTAAACAATCTTAAAAACTTCCAAAGTTTAATTGTTCGTGTGACTCCATTATTACTTCTCCTTGAAGAACATTCAATAAAACTTGAAAGTTTACCTAGGATTTAGGTAATTGTATGTCTCCTCTGCAAAAAGCCCATCTATCTTCTATTGTTGGCCTGTTTGTGACTTTGAAAGTCAATCTAACAGGATTTAAAGGACTTAAACTCTGTGCTATTGGAAACGTAAAAGGAAGGTAAACCAGAAGGCACCAAAACTACAACTTCCCTAACAGGTGTACAGTTTGTGCTGTATTTGAAGAAACAGAAAATTTGTCTCTGCTTTGCTCTGTCTTCCATGTGTTCTAAGTATGTGTCTTACTACAATTCCATTGAGACTTTGGAAAGGAGCATGTAGATGTGTGCAGGTGTGGAATTTAAAACTGAACAAAATTAAACAGTTGGCTGTATTGTAATACGTTGTCCTTACTCTTTTATGCAACTATGTGCTGTAAAGTTTTATTCACCTTTTTCACATTTATTTTGTAAATAGCTTTTACATGTGTAACATATGATGAAGAGTTTATAAGGATTTTAAGGGGAGTGTGGGAAGCCCAAAACTTTTATTTTTTTTCCTTTTTAAAATGGAAGTTATGCAACCGTAGATACTTTGGTGGTGTTTTTTTTAATAGAAAAAACAAAACTTCCTTGCATGGTTTGTCCCTCTTTTCATCTTTATGTTGTATAATATATATGGTCAAACAAAACAATTCTGCTTTAAATATAGCCCCAAAATTACAATTATATATATATTGGAAATAAACTGCCTTATTCAAAAAAACAAGTTTGCTTACTTATTTAAAGCATAAGTTCTAGCTAGTAAAACACACTATGGATAAATAGTGTTGAAATTATGCTATTAGATGTGATTTATTTGCATCAATTACCAATAATCCATAAACAGAAGTTTAACAAAAAGAAAGTTCTCTTCACACTCCACTGTAATACATTAAAATACACTATGAGATCCCTACTATTTTAAATTATGCAGCTTCCACATATTACACAGTTGATATTTTTCCTGCACGCATATGAAGCATTAGTGAATTATATCAGGCACTGAAACTGTACATAATCATATGGGAACTCTCTTCTTGTAGCTTCAGCAGGTTTATCAAACATCAATTAAGTTTTAAGATTATTTTGCAACAATAAACTATAGAAAATTGTTAATAGTAACAGCAAGTCAATTTTACTATTAATCTAAATAGACACAATTTAGATGTGAATTTTAAAAAAAGATCTAATCTGGAATAAGCTTGGAGGAGCAAATTAGCGTGCAATGATGCATTTCTCCTTTTTCCACTTTTGGTCCTCTTTTTTTACTTGCTCTTCATCTTCTGCTTATATTGCAGTCTATCTTTCCTTGAGCTCTCGAAGAGCATGGATATTACAAAAATGAGGGCATGACATAATGTGCTCGTATCTCTCCATCTAAGAGCTTAGAAAACAGAAAGTGGGCTGTACATCATAAAAGATAAACCCTCATCTGGTAAGCTCCAAATCTGGAAATCAGTCAATAAGAAGTGACAATGTAAAGGATATGGTGTTTATACAGTTTATACACTCCGCAAAAGGTGCACATAAGGACAGCTTAGTATTTAACATGCTAATTTATAAACTAAACCAAACCCAAGGATTGTAAATTAAATAGAAATACAGTGTAGAATTCCTTCCTACAGCAGGGGAGATGGTCTGCATTCAGTCCTGATTGCTGCCAAGATGTCAGCTTTGGGCCAACTCTCCCTTCTTTACCTTTAAGCCAGCCTGGAAAGATTCCTCAAGACCAAAGGCTTCTTCAAACAGAGGACACAGCTACTCTTGTTCCTGTTCCATCTGCTCAACTTCTTTGGTTGTATGGAATCCGAAATACCTGCCTCTAAGCAAAACTGTAAATCACATTTTTTTTTAAAGAATAACCCTTAAAATTTCATATCTGGTTTTTTTTTTTTCAAGGAATAACCCCTTAAGAAATAAAGCTTAAGAAAAGTGTTATGGGGAGGAAAGAGTATTTTATTAAATTCAGACACTCTGCTAGGAAACATCAGAAATAGAAAAGAAAAAAAA